CCCCAAAACCCCAAAACCCCAAAACCCCAAAACCCCAAAATGATAACTTCTAATTGACTTGAATGGTTATAGATAATTGTTCATTATTTTGAGGCTATGTCTTGGCTTTATCCTTAGGATAGCTTCTCGAGTCACTTCACAACCTCTTATGGCTTCGGATCTTCAATTATCTGCTAAGATATTTGTGCCAGACTCTATTGGAGAGGCTGATCTTACTACTTCCATCATCTGCTTTAAATCTTGACTTAGTGGATAGAGAAAAGAACAACTCTATCAGAATATGTTGTGATAAGGAAGGAGGGAGAAACACAACCTACTCTCATACATCTTTCAGAGCTTATATTACCTTTGCTATAGATTAATAACTTGCATTATCCAGCATTTCCATCACCTTTTCTATTTTTGAGTTTTCTTCCTCAGAATTTTAGACAGATCTTTCAGATAATCTTTAAGGTAGATTCATTCTTATTCTTGTTAAAGAACTAAGCAAAAGACTCTTATTCAGATATTATTGATGTAATCGTTTTAATTTTGCTTGGCAATCTTTATGCTTGGATTTTTCTTTTCCCCTTCTTTTCATAGCCATACATCTTTTGGATCTTGAAGAAGAAAGTAAATTCATTTATGCTAGTGGTCATACTTCCTCTAAGAAGTTGTTTTAAATATTAAAGATAAACAGCTCCATTATGAGTCTCAAATTTGACAATTTTACAGTGATTGAACGGCGATCTAGCTCCTAGTAGCTATAGGCTAAGCTGGTTATTTCATGATTACTTCAACCTCTCCCTATGCCAAACTGAGGGGCATGCCCATCGGAAAATTTACCCAACTTAAGGCAATGTTTAGTCCTATTTTATTCTTCAAAACAGGTCTAATACAAACTTGCAAAAGATGGGTCTCATATAATCCTTTTATATCATCCACTATGTCATAGTAAACTTCATATCTGAAATATTCCTGACAATAGCATTTGGTGTATTAACACTAACTTGATATTAATCAGAGAGCTGGTGGCTGTCCTTCCTATCCAAGTTTTGCCTTGAATATATAGAATCACAGCTTCATGAGAAGTTTATATTTCCCAATGAGAATAACACTCCAAGTATTCTTGCGTTTGTCTTGGTTTCCCAGCCTATCATCAAGCTCTAATCTTTCTGTGCTTCTTTGCCTTGCTTCTTCAGTCATACTCTTGTACACGTGACAAAAGTCTATCGGTTCCCATGATCTTCCTAATCCTCATATAATTTGACTTCTTAGTCTTGACTCTTGATAGTCTTCATTATTTTATTCTTTATTAACTATCTAAAAACAAGATTGCGGGGTTTTGGGGTTTTGGGGTTTTGGGGTTTTGGGG